AAGCTCCAGGCTCCTGGCTTCAGATCAACCCAGCTCCAGCTGTTTGCAGTCATTTGGGGAGGGAACCAGAGGATGGAAGACCTCTCTCTCTCTGTCTCTGTCTCTACTTCTCTCTGTAACTCTTTCAAAAAAATAAAACAAATCTTAAAAAAAATATATTTTCTAAAGCTTTAAGAACTACAGACATCATGACCTTTCCCACTGAAACCTCCTGTAGAAAATCTCTTCCATTCATATCCCCCTTCTCCCTATTCCCTTACCCTTTATCTAAAGTTAGCCAATTTAAAAATATCTAATTAACACTTACAGTGTTCTATTTATTTATTTTTTTACTAAAAACACAGACAGATTTGTACTCACAATCTTGCTTCCCTTTGTCCTTTGCTACAAAGGTAGCATCCTCTACACAGTTTTTGGCACCTCATTATTTTGTGGAACAACATGCCAGATGAATACACCAAGAGCATCCTCTTTCTTTGTATGGCTGCCTACTTCTCTATCACATTGGCGATACCACATTTATGCAGCCATTTCTCTGCTGATGGACATTTGAGTGGTTTCCTGCTTGCCTTTGGTGGTGGTGGTAGTGCTAGTGGTAGAACATATAATGCCTCAATGAGTAACTCTGTATGTGTCATTTTGTATTTGTGCAGTTATGTCCTTACAGTTCTAGAAGTGAGATTCCTGTGTCAAAAAGATAAACACAACAGTACTCTTCATAGATAGTGATAGATTCCCCTCCAAAAGAGCTATATCATTTCATGTTGCTAACAATACATAACAGTGCAAGCTGAGAACCCATAATCTGAAAATCTAAAATCCAAAAAAAAAAATCCCAAATCTGAAACTTTGAGTATTGACTTGATGCCACAAGTGGAAACTTCCACACTGACCTCATGTGATAGGTCAGTCAAAACACAGGTGCATTTGAAATGCTGTATAAAATCACATTTAGGCTATGTGTATATAAGTGTATATGAAACATAAATGGATTTCATATTTACATTTGGGTCACATCCCTAAGATATCTTATTATGGATATGCAAATATTCCCAAGTTAAAATAAAAAAAAAAAGCAAAACCAAATAAAGGATATGCCACATAGTACCTGTGTCTCCCAAAACTCACCCATAGAATAGTACCAAAATTGTGATTTTTGCTGATGTTGGGGGAAAAATGATATCATAATCTGAATGTTTGTCTTTATGATTGAGACTGAGGAACTTACCGTAAGTTTTGAGAACATTTGTTTCTTTTTTTTATGCACTGTTAGGTATTTTATTAAGTTCAGGGGTGTTCATCATTTTATTCTCAATTTCCAGGAACTCTTTATGGGAAAGAAATGAATCACTTGGCTGTGAAATGTTTTAAATATTCTCTCCTAGTTTGTTATTTGTTTTTTTTTTGGGGGGGGGCCTTATAATATTATTTTTAAAAGATTTATTTATTTATTTATTTGAAAGGCAGAGTTACAGAGAAAATGAGAGAGAAAGAGAGAGAGAGAGAGAGAGAGATATTTTCCAATCTGCTGGTTCACTCCCCAGATGGATGCAATGGCTGGGGCTGGGCCAGACCAAAGCCAGAAACTAGAAGTGTCTTTTGGGTCTCCCACGTGGATGGCAGGGGTCCAAGCACTTTGGCTACCTCCTGCTGGTTTTCCTAGGCCATTAGCAGACAGTTGGAAGGGAGGTGGAGCAGTCAGGACACGAACTGGCACCCAAATGTGATGCTGGTGTTGCAGGCAGCAGCTTTACCTGCTATGCCACAACACTGGCCCCTACAATATTATTTTAATACAAAAGCCTTTTGTAAAGAAAACTTTGTGGAGCCCTCATTGTAGCACAGCAGGTTAAGCTGCCACCTGTGATGCTGGCATCTCATATTAGAGTGCCGGTTTGAATCCTGGCAGCTCTGCTTCTGATCTACTTTCCTGCTAATGCACCTGGGAAGGCAGTGGAACATGACCTAAGTGCTTGAGCTCCCGTCATTCATGTGCGAGACCCGGATGGAGTGCCAGCCTCCTGGCTTTGGCCTGGTCAAGCCCTAGATGTTGTAGCCATTTGGAGTACAAACCAGCAGGTGGAAATTGTTTCTCTGTCTTTCCCTCTCTCTCTCTGTCACAGTGCCTTTCAAATAAGTAAGTTAATTTTAAAAATTATGTTATCCAATTCATCAGCAAATTGTAATTATTGATTCTAGATTTTGAGTCGCAGTTAAAGACTGTCTCCATTCCCAAGTTTTAAAGGAATTCACTTGTGAATATATTTGAGGAGCTGACTCGTTAAATTTTGTTCATATGGCTCTTATACATTTTTTGTGTTATTTATTCCTAAACATTTTGTCTGTTTTGCTGGCATTGTAAGTGGGGATTCTCTCCAAAAGACTTGTTAACTGGTTAATGGTTATGTATAGGAACCCATTTTAAAACTTGCACTAATTGTACAGCCTACCAATCATGCAATTCTTTTGTTGCTTATGGTATTTTTCCCATTGATTCTTTGGGGATTTCTACATATATAATAATTTATAACTACAGGCAGTTTTACTTCCTTATTTCTAATTCTTTTACCTCTAAATGCTCCTCTTACTTCGATGAACTGGCTAACACTTCCAGGAACTTACCAACTAGTTGTGGTAATAGTGACTATCCTTGTCAGCAAAATAGATGTTAGCTATGGTGCTAATTGTGTGTGTGTGCATAATTATGTGAAGAAACAATCTATTGATTTTTTATTGTTCCGAGTTTTTGAAATGAGTAGTGGGGATTGATTTTGTGAGATTTCTTTACAGAATCAAAGGTAACAACCATTAGCTTCTCAAATACAGGCCTAATACTTAATATTAATGGGTTTCCCATTATTGAAGCCTTCTTGCGATTCTAGAATAAACCCTAACTGGTTGTTGTGTATTTTATTCTATACAGTATTGGAGTCTCTGTAACAATATCTTATTTAGAATTTGTTCCTCAACATTTGAAAGCATGATTAGGGGACAGTTTTCTTTCATTATGTGCAATCTTAGTCACTTTTATCGGTTTTCCATTTGCTTCATAAAATGAGCTAGAAGTCTTCCTGTATGTTCTTTATCTGCATATTTAAGTAACAGTGATATTATCTGCTCTTTAAAGGTTTGTTGTCATCCCCTTGTGAGATCACCCAGGCCTGGCATTCTTCACTATGGGGAGAGAGGGCTCTTGACTGAAGGTTCTTTGAAAGATGTGTTCACTTGTACTTCTAGCCCAATATTAGTTGCCCTGCATGGCAGAGGGCTGCAGGTGGTATAAAAGGGCTCCACGATACCTTTCCCGAGCTGCATAAGCTAGGTGGTGGATTGAAACGGTAAAGGATTAATAGTGACAAAGAGTCTTTGCTTGGCCACACTTTAGTTGGGCTCCTGAACTTTCTGTGCCCTTTTTTATAGAGTCCAGTTTTAGCAAACACCCTGCCAAGTCAGTTGTGCGAGACTCCCTCAACTCCTCCGCATCTCCCCAGGTTCCTCACCCTCCCACATTTCCCAGGGGATGCCTGCCCCACCCTGGCCTGTCTGAAGCAAGACTCTTGTTAGGTCGGTGTAGCCAGAATCCCCATCACTGCTGATGTTTCCTCTCGGTCACTTTCCGTGCAGGACCCCCACTCTGCTCCTTAGCTATAAACTCCCACTTGCCCAGGCTGCACTAGGAGTGGAGCTCCTGCAGCCGCTCCCCGGGTCCCCCTGCCTTGGTGCCTACACCTACCGTGATGTCCTGAATAAAGTCTGCCTTGCCTTGCTTGCTTTAAGAAGAGGCATTGCGCAGTTTTCCCATGACATATCAGGTAGTGTTGTCGAGGAGGGAGGAGGAGAGGAGGAGAGGAGGGGAGTGTTGCCTTGGCTGGAAGACCCAGGAAAAGAGGCTGCAGGAGGGCCAAAACTGAGGAGGGACCATCAGCTGTTTCTTCCCCAAATCCCCCCCCCCCCCCCCATCCCGCAGGCGAGGGGTTACTCTTCCTGTTTTCTCAGCTGTGAAGGCAGGGGAAATCTCCCATAGTCCCCAGTCTCCTGCACTCCTTGGCAGCTTTTAGGGGTTGACGGAGTGCTCAGAGAGCCACCTCACCAGAGGGAGCACGGACAAGACAATTCCCTCACCAAGCTTGCTGTGAGCCGGTGGCAGCCAACAAGCAGACACATTCATAAGCCTCAGGGTGCAGACGTTCCCTCTAGGTTGAGTCTGGTTTCCTGAGGCAGCTCTCTCTGCACCACGGCACTGCTCAGATCGCTCTCTGCTGGGAGGTGGCTTTGCTGGGGCTGTGAGGCACGTGGGAGTGAGGCTCTTCCTGGTGCCCACCGTGTCCACTTGCCCCCTTCTGCCATAACGTGGCCTGCCGCCAGGGGGCGCCGGTCGACTCTGCAGGGAGTTGGGAGAGTGGGGATGAGCCGCACCGCTCCCAGCAGCTGCGGATGTGGCACGCCAGCAAGAACACGGTGGTGGTGAGCGCCCTGGAGTCTGCTCTCCACTTCTGAGCCAACCAGAGGAATTTGGAGAGGCCGAAGCCCACAGACACTGCGGGGAGATCGGTCTGTGTCCCCAGGAGAGGTCCAGGCTGTTTCCTATGTACAAGTTGTGGCCTTTGTCTCAGCCCTTCGCAGAGCTGCCACGCCCCAAGCTGCACCTGCAGCAGGCAGCGGGGTCTAGGGGCTGCCTGGGCTGTGAAGGGGCACCGGGGGCCCAGCGAGTGCTTTCTGAGCTCGGCCAGCACCTCTTCCCTGCTGTTGCTTCCTTCCCTCGACACCCACGCCCACCCAGCAGCACCAGGGCTGACCAGACCTTTCCGACCTGAAACCCCAAGAGGCAGGGCCGAGAACAAGTGCGAAGGCTCATTGGAGACCTTTAAAATGTGAGTCAGTCCCTGAGTGACAGCCAGCTACGGCTGCTGACTGTCCCTAAACACTCAGTGTGGCCCTGGGAGTTCTTAGTCTAGGCCTGCCCCCCCCCCCCCCCCCGGCACCCAGGGCGGCCCAGCTCTGGCTGCTCCATTACCCAGTGGGCTGTGGTACCAGGAGCTTCCCACCAGTGAGATTCTCATGTGGAGGGACCTGTTGAAGGTCCTCTGGGGGAGCCTTCTGTCCCTGACTTTCCTGCACGGTGGCTACTTGCCTGCAGAGGAGTTGTATCCTCCTATCCTTACACCAGCTGTGTGGGACAGAAGGAAGAGCTAGGGGGAACCCTGGCCTTGGGGCCTGTTACGGTGCAGCAGGTTAAACTGGAGTCCCAGCAGAAGATGGCCCAAGGGCTTGGACTTGGCTTATGTGTGGGAGACTGGATGAAGACTCAGGCTCCTGTTTGATTGCTGCCATTCAGGGAGTTAACTGGCTGATGGAAGACCCCTCTCTCTCTGCCTTTCAATTAAATACATCTTTTTTTTTTTTTAATAGAGAAGCTTGGCCTTGGGGGCCACAGACTAGTATTTTAACCCCTTGCAAAATATATTATATAAATAGGGATATTCTCTTCTGAGTTTTCCCCAAGATTTATTTATTTGAAAGACAGAGAGAAAGAAAAGAGAGACAGAAGGGGGGGAGAGAGAGATCTTTCATCTGCTAATTCACTCTCCAAATGGCCCAACGACCAGGACTGGGCCCGGGCGAAGCCAGGAGCCAGGAACTCCATCCTTGTGGAGGGGCCCAAGTACTCGGGCCATCTTCCGCTGCTTTTCCAGGCGCACTAGCAGGGAGCTGGATCCGAAGCGGAGCAGCTGGGATGCAAACTGGCACTCTGATGTGGGATGCTGCTCGAGTTGCAGCGGTGGTTTAACTGGCTGTGCCCCAATACCGGCCCTTCTGTTTTTTTCAACTTCCTTAATTTATGTTGTTATGCATACTACGATGCATCCTATGATCCAGGCACTGTATGAAGCACTTTATCAAATGTGAGTTCATCGAATGCTCACAACAGCCCTGTGAGGAAGGTGCTATTAACCCTATATGCAGATGAGGAAACTGAGGCTTAGGATGGCTGAGTAATTTCCCCAGGGTTACCAAACAAGGAGGACTTTGAATTTCTGAATTATTCCACAGTCTGATAATCAGGGTCCATTGATCGAAATGGTCTCAGCCATCTTCCTCTGTGGACAAGTTGCTGAGAAGCAAACAGAAAAACCCGTTGTTTTTTTTTTTTTTTTTTTTCAACAGAGACATTTTCTTTTCTTTTCTTAAGATTTATTTATTTATTTGAAAGAGAGAGCAAGAGAGAAGAGAAAGATATTTTCAATTTGCTGGTTCATTTCCTAAGTGGCCACAATGGCAGGGGCTGGGTTGAGTGGAAGCCAGGAGCTTCTTCTGGGTCTCCACGTGGGTGCAGGGGCCCAAGCACTTGGGTCATCTTCCACTGCTTTCTTAGGTGCATTAGCAAGGAGCTGGATTGGAAGTAGACCAGCTGGGACTCAAACCAGCACCCATATGGGATACTGGCCCTGAAGGCAGAGGCTTAACCTTCTGGGCCATAGCACTGGCCCCCAGAAAAAACTCTTTAACTTGCTTTCTTTTCAAGCGTACTCTGCTTCTTTGGATTTTACATCATATAAGCTAGGTCCCACATGTTTGAAGTCTGCCCACCCAAGTGTAGAAACACAAGTTGTTAACATTTATGCCCATGCATCAGTATCTGCTTTTCTGTGCTCTGTTCCACTAGCTGTCACCACATCCCCTCTGCCTTGGCAGCCAGTCTGGGCAACACCCCTCTGGTTCAACCTCAGCACCCTCCCTTGGACACACGCTAGGTATCACTGCCCCTTCAGCTGAAGACATAGGGTCAGTTGAAAGGTGGTGACGTCTCTTCTTGGAGTGAACCTTGAAAGGCTGAATTTGGGTGGGCAGAGAGACATTGGCAAGGCAGATATGAGGGTACTTCCAAAAGTTGATGGAAAAATGAAGTGGAATGACATGTATATTTTGGGGCAAACAATTTGGAAATCCATGCAGTTTTTTCACAATACTCACTTTCCATGAGCCTTCCAAAGATCCCTTGTGTGCATAGATTTAAGATTTTTTGTTTTGCACCAAGAAAAACACTTTTAATCCCATTTTCCACAATGTTTTTGAAACACTCTCATATTGTCTAAGGGTCTGGAGTTGTGGTATGGGAGTTGGGGTCTGGAGTTGGGGTATGGGGCCATGATAGAAAGGTAGGAATGGCAGAGCCCAGAGACAGGAGGAAACTGGTGTGAGATAGAGAGCCTTGCAAAGGGGATAGAAGACAGGAACCTGCAGGGTGTGAAAAGCTCAGGGGTGTTTGACTAGAATGCAGGCGGCAGGGCAAAAGGCTTTGGGTATTTCTGCTGGTGGAGATGTAGGTTTTCAGGGTTTGCACAATGGGGCATGCCCAAGGTGGCTGTGGTGAGAGCCTTGGAGACCTCCACCCTCTCTCCCCTGAGCTTTGCAAATGCATTGAGGGCAGGGGTTGGGATTGTTCAGTCTCGAATCTTCAGAGTCTCCTGGGTCCCCTTGACTTCATCCTGGTGAGTCTGGTGCTTTATAGGCACCCATGGACTTTCAAACAAGTGAAGGCAGAGAGAGAGAAAGGAAAAGAAGGAGGAGGGAGGGTTTGTTCCACAGCAGGAGCTGGCGATGGCTGGGAGCTCCAGACAAGTGTCAACCAGTCCCTTTCCAAAGTCAGGCCCCTGGGGCTCACCCTTCTCTGCATTGCCCATGGGATCACTGTGCACAAGGAAACTCACTCTCTGGTCTTTATTCTACAGGGTCAGAGGTAATAGGCCAGAATTCACCAAGGTCTCCGCCGAGACAAACAAGACCAAGGAAGATCTCGCTGTCACTCATTCAAGGGAAAGTGGCTGTTCAAGGCCTTTGTTCCACCCATGTACCATGCCCACAGTGAATGCTCATGAGATTGCAAGTGCTGTCTCTGGCCTGTACAGTGCCCACACTCGCACAATTCCCCCGCCTTCACACGTTCTCAGCGGGACAAAGTCAGGGGAACACAGTGAGCAGTTCCTCCTCAGTAAGGGGTTCTTCAGAATCGTGGCCATTGCACAGATGCTCTTGAGTTCTTGACATAAAGGTTGGTTTTTGAAAACGTAGATTAGGACAGAACTTAAAAACAACAGATTGACTAATAGTCATACAAAGATTAGTGTACCTTTGACCACATTTTTTTGTTTATTTTTCTATGTGTTTCCTTCGTGGTCTTTCATGTGGCTCACCCAATGCCGTCTGTGTACTTGTTGAGAGCTTTAACTGTTTTTCACGTAGTTTTTGCTGAAGTCAGTTTTTCCAAGACCCTCTTTCTTCAGAGCTCAGTTTCACCTTCCCACCTGCTGGCAGCCGCTTCGGTCACAGAAAGAGGCCACATCTGCTTCCTGTAGGCCCCCTGGGCAGAAGCATGCACTGGTGCTTCCTCCTGATCTGGGCCCAGGGGCTGAGGCAGGCTCCTCTCCTCGCCTCAGGTAAGGCCTGGAACCTGACAGGGCCGAGAGGAAGAGCGGACAAGGGTGAGCCTGGCAGGGCCTTTGGGGCGCGGACATGGGCAAGGCTGTTGTGCGTCCTGTACCTGTGTGAGGGGCTGAGCTGCAGTGGTCAGAGTGCCGGGCACTCGAGTGTGGGGAGGGCACTCAGCGGTGAGTTCTGCTGGGGGCAGCCTTTGGAGATCTCAGGGTGTGGGTGCCTGCCTGGCTGGCGTAAGCAAGCAAGAGGAGGAGGAGGAGGGAGAAGGCTGGATCACCAGCTGCTTATTAGAAGCTCCCACTTGGTCCAGTCTGTCTTCTGCTCTTAGGGGTCAAAAATGCCTTATTCCGGGTTCTGTGGCTTCTACCACCATGGACCAAATCTTTGCCAGATTTATTTCTTCTGTGTTAACAGCCTTCGATACGTCTTTCTGAGGGAAGGGACACAGATGTTTAAGTACCATGGCCTGAAGTACTTTTTTTAAAAATTTATTTATTTATTTGAAAGGCAGAGCTACAGAAAGAGAATGAAGGTGGGGGGTGGGGAGAAGAGAGATCTTCTATCTGCTGGTTCATTTTCCAAATGGCTCTAACAGCCAGGGCCGGGCCATGCCAAAGCCTGGAGGCAGTAGCCTCTACCAGATCTCCCATGTAGGTGCAGGAGCCCAAGGATCTGAGCCATTTTCTACTGTCTTCCCACACATTAGCAGGGAGCTGGACTGGAAGTGGAGTAGCCAGGATTCGAACTGGCACCCATATGGGATGCCGGCATTGTAGTTTGTGGCTTTACCTGGTATGTCATAGCGCCCACCCCCTAAAGTAGCTTTGATGTTGCTTTCTCACCCAGATGAGAGTAGACAGGTGCTCAGAGTGCAAGGGAGTGGTGAGTGCTGAAGAGTCAGCTTTGCCTGGAAGAAAGAGAGTGTTCCTTGTCACCTTCCTTTCCCTTGGATCCCTCAGCTTTCCTGAAGGATTTCTGGGTATCCCAAAGGGCAGTCAGCCAAACAGCCAGATTTTTTTTCAAAGGACAGTGCAACTAGTGCAGAACTAGACTGCTGGAAGATACACAAGAAACAAACCAAAAAAAAAAAAAAAAAAAAAAAAAAAAAAAAAACAGGAGAGGTGGTGTCAGCTGACAAGGGCATATATATTTTAGTGGGGACGGGGGGCAAAACAAAACAAGCGGATGAAAATCACCAAGGAGCCAGTTCTGAAGCTATTGGGCAGAAATGCGATGAGCAGGCTGCACTCTCAGTCGCGTGGTAATAAGCCAGGATTTAATGAGGGGTTTATTAATAGTGGTGGCAGTGAGAAAGCAAGAGGGGAACATGGGCTTCCTCAAGGAGGGGGCCAGGAAGTGCAGCTTTGAGAAGCCTTCAGGTGGGGGCAGAGGGAGGCTGAAGCAGGGAGGGAAGGAGATGGGCTGGGCTAAAGTCCACGGACGCGGAGGACAGGAGGCGTGGAAAGGGGACACGAGGTGGGGCTGGGAGCCTTGAGTGACAGGCATAGAGAGGAATGGCTGTTGCCATGGGCAAGTCAACAGGAGAGACTGGAGAAACTTTCATTCTGGAAGCCAGTTCTGGCCTTGGGCACCTTGGAGTTCCCCCTGGAGATTCAAGGTTAATTGCTGACCTGGGCCTCATGGTACTTCTTCCTCTTCCCCAGGCACTATGGCAAGCATGATAGTGACAACAGGCAACATTTCTGCAGAGGAAGGCGGCTCCGCCATCTTACAGTGTCACCTTTCCTCCACCACGACGGAAGTGACCCAGGTCAACTGGGAGCAGCAGGACCGACTGCTGGCCGTTCGTCATGTTGACCTTGGCTGGCACATCTCGCCAGCCTTCAAGGAGCGGGTGGTGCCAGGCCCCAGCCTGAGCCTTACCCTGCTGGCGCTGACTGTGAATGACACAGGGGAGTACTTCTGCACCTACCATACCTACCCCGATGGGATTTACAAAGGCAGAATCTTTCTGGAAGTCCGAGGAAGCTCAGGTATTTTCTCAGGAGCAGGGTGGGAATGCCTTCTTCCTCCGGCGTAGAAAATGCCAGCCTGAAACCCTCTGGGGAGCAGGGTTTCTCAATCCTGAACTTGGGGATCACCTGGGGAGCTTTCTATAGCTCTGTAACTGGGACTACAGACTGATGGGATGAGGCTCTCCCGGGCAGAGCTGAGATTAAAGGCTCCGAAAACATTCCAGGTGATTCTGCTGTGCAGGCACGACCAACACCCCCTGTTCCTGCGGGAGAAGCACATCTGACTTATCCGAGTGGTTTTTCTTTTAAAGATTTACTTATTTGGGAGGCTGAATTACAGAAACACAGAGGTGGGGGAGAAGGGGAGGGCAGGGGGAGGGGGAGATATCTTCTATCCACTGCTTCACTCCCCCAAATGGCAAGGGGCAGGGCTGTGCCAGGCCAAAGCAAGGAGCCAGGAGTTTCATCTGGGTCTCCTATGTGGATTCAGGAGCCCAAGGACTTGGGGCCATCTTCTGCTGCTTTCCCAGATGCCTTAGCAGGGAGCTGGATCAGAAGTGAAGCAGCTGGAACTGAAACCGGTGTCCATATGGGATGCCAGCGTTGCAGGCAATGGCTTTACCTGCTACAGCACAGTGCTGAGTCCTTTACTAGGAAGACTAGCTGATGAGGTCAGACGCAAGGTGTTATTTATTTGCTTAGCGCCGATCATACAGAATTCTCTCTCTCTCTCTTTTTTTCTCTTTTTTTGACAGGCAGAGTGGACAGTGAGAGAGAGAGAGACAGAGAGAAAGGTCTTCCTTTTCCGTTGGTTCACCCCCCAAATGGCCGCTGTGGCTAGCATACCGCGCTAATCTGAGGCCAGGAGTCAGGTGCCTCTCCTGGTCTCCCATGCGGGTGCAGGGCCCAAGCACTTGGGCCATCCTCCACTGCACTCCCGGGTCACAGCAGAGAGCTGGACTGGAAGAGGAACAACTGGGACAGAATCCAGTGCTCTGACTGGGACTAGAACCCGGGGTGCCGGCGTTGCAGGCGGAGGATTAGCCTAGTGAGCCGCGGTGCTGGCTCAGAATTCTCTCTTAAATGTATAAAGAGTGGAGCTGGTTAAAAATAATGCCTGATATGAGCAAAGTGTAAATGTATGATAGTTTACATTTTTTGTGATATCTCAGAATTTCCAAAATGCCCTGATATTCATTAGCAACTTGGACACTTAGATCATTTCTCTGGGACTTGGGCAACGATTATCATCATATTTAAGAGATCAGGGTTGAGAAGAGCTCAGATTCTGACATTATCCAGCCTGGGTTCAAATGTTGACTTTGCTATTGACCTTGGACAAGATTACTTACCTTCTCTGTGCATCAATTTCTCACCTGGGCAGTGAGGATAGATGTGAGACCTTAGGAAGTACTAATGTAGGATTGCATCACCAGCTCAAGAAAATGTCCTTAGAATAGTGCCTGGGACAGGGTCCCCACTATAGAAGCAATATCTGTTACTATGAATCCCATTTGAATGCTTGAGGGAGACAGGGGTTGAGGACTTGTGGGTGCTCAGATTGGTGGAGGCAGTGCTAACTGGTGTTCTGGATCCACCAAGCTGCACCCTCAGAACCTCTATCTACTGCCTAGCGCAGTTGTGTTGGAGATTAAATTTTATGAGTTTGCAAAATTTGTATCAACTGAGCAGATAAAAGTTAACATTGCTTTTCAGATGTTCCTTCTTGGCAAGGCTCACACAGGCCAAATGCAACAAGCAGTTAGGAGTCCAGGCTCTGGGATCACTGACCCTGGGTAATCTTGGTCAATTATTTCACTGTTTCTCATGTATTAGATATGGTGAATAATCTCAAGAGTTGATACAAGTAAATCCTTAGATACCTAATAGCCCTAACTTAATCAGCACTAGTTCTTGGAGTATTTATTGCTTCGTGGTCAGAGGAGGCCTGGAAGAGTAAACAGCATAGGGAAGCTGAATTGCAGCAAAAGTAAATGATGGGCTTAGCCATTTGGGACTCTTTAGCCTAGTGCCTCAGGCCTGAGCATCCACGACTAGGCTGGAATTCCTAGGAACTGGAGACAGGATGAGAATTCTGTCTCTTTTCTCAAGGTCATGGCAAGGACTGTCAGGGACTGCTGCTGCAGACAAGCATACTGCTCTTGCCAAGGCCGCAGTGGACAGCAGTCTCCAAGTGTGAAAGCACAGAAGCGAAGCACGGATTTCCTTCCTGGGTCTCACAGACCAATGGGTAGGGGCTTGAGAAATGTTCTACGGGACACTGTTCAGCCCCTGCTCAAAGCCTCTGTGTGTTCCCGCCCTTTTGGCTTTGCACAACAGTGGAGAACAGCACTGGTCACTTGCAGCTCCCCTCCTGTTTCTCAACTCTGTGTTCAGTTGCTTACCTGGGATGCTAATGCCTCTTTGTTTACTTGCATTCATTGTATGCCCGACTTCTCTCTGCCCTGTATTAGTCAGCTTTTCCTTACTACAGCTAACATACAGTTTGGAGGTTCACAATCCAAGGTCGGGTGGCCCCATTGGTTCAGGCATCCACTGGAGCCAGAGGACAATGGAAAGACAATCACACGGTGATCCAGGGTCCAGGGCACACTCTTCATCTACCCTCTGTGTGGTCTCTCCTTATGATGCTGTCATGACTGGTTATGGGGCTCCAACCTAGCAACCCAATGCAATCACTTCCCAAGGGCTCCCCCTTCAGACGCTGTAACTGGTTGATGAATCCATCAACCATTAACATGAGACTGTAGGAGGGTTCAAATGTCTGCATGAGGGAGCCAAATTCTGTACAAACTCTAACATGACCCTAAGGTCAAACTTTAGTCTGGGCCCATATTTAAGCTATTATCTCTAACATTAATGCCAAAATTGAGCTTAACGTTAAAGCAGACCTGGCTAGTAGGCACAGATCTCAGGTACCCGCGATGCAGAGTCCGCCCTTCCCGACCCTATGTATAGTGATATTGCCATGTTTGCCCAGGGCTGCTTCTGTTTCAAAGACCTTGAAGTCTTTGTTCTGTGGCTGAGACTAGGGAATTCATGCTTTCATTCAGCAATAATTCCTACTAAAGTTGATATTGTTAATATATTAATACTGCTAGAGTCCTCATTATATCTGTAACTTACTTTTTTTTTAAAGATTCAGTTATTTGTTTGAGAGGCAGAGTTGCAGACAGAGAGAAGGAAAGACAGAGAGAAAGGTTTTCCATCTGCTGGTTCACTCCCCAAATGGCTATAATGGCCGGAGCTGGGCCGATCAGAAGCCAGGAGCCAGGAGCTTCTTGTGGTTCTTCCACATGGGTGCAAGGGTCCTAGCACTTCAGCCATCTTCTACTGCTTTCCCAGGCCATAGCAGAGAGCTGGATCAGAAGTGGAGCAGCCGGGACTTGAACTGGTGCCCATATGGGATGCTGGCATGCAAGCAGCAGCTGGCATGCAAGCAGCAGCTTTAGTCGCTACACCACAGCACCGGCCCTGTATATCCTTTTCTGGTTCTGTGAATATCCCTTTGCAGCACCTCTGACCTCCTGCAGTATTCCTTACGACCACTGGCCTCCTACCTGCTCTCTTTCTCCTTGAGTGAACTTTACGGCTGTGGCCAATGGGACTGAGCACGGCCCAGGATGTGACACAGTCCTCAGAGCAGGTGGAACACATTGTGAGGAATGCAGGCACTGCCCTTGTCCTGAGTAATTGTATTCCTTAGCACATTTCTAACAATCTAAGTGCTTAATCACTGGGAGGAAGGCCAAGACCTCTTCTATCTTCTCTTTTTAAGACTTTTCTGGATACCTGGGTCTTGGCCAAGCTTCTAGGGATGAAGCAGCCTGCAAACCCTTCCCCCTATTGCACTGAGTCACGGGGACAATTGTCTTGTTTTTCCTCACGGTCTCCTTGCATCAGATATCACACATCTTTTCAAAATTCCCCTTCCACCCCTTCCTCCTTCCAGTTCCATTTCATGGTTCAGCAGAAATGCATTTGTTCATGCATTCATTCAAGCCACAGATATTTACTGAGCACCTACTATCTGTCAGCTGCCGGGAAAATAGCCAAGGATAAGGCCCCAAAACTTACTTCCTCTGGGGCTTCACAGCCTAGATGGGAATAAGTGTTAATGGGCTCAAGTTGCAAATTTCTATGCTTTTCTTTTTTGTAATTTAATATTAATTTTATTTTAGTTTTTAGTTCAAATGCTTTTACTGGTATGATTTTATATATATAAAATTTAATAAAAGAAAATGCTCACTTTCTGTTTTTTTTCTGTATGGTACCATTTGTTTCACTTTGCAATTACTGAAAATGGTTTTGTCTAGTAGAGGTAAGGAGGGCTAAAAATGATCCACGTTGGTGTCAGTTACACGACTTAAACCCTTACTCTGGAGGCCAGTCATTGATGTCATGGTGGGCCAGGAGGATGCTCTGTTGTCCAGAGGGGCCACAAGTCTCTTGTCCTGTCATTAGAGTAAGGGCCTGGCCATTCCCCACCTCTGTGTCATGAAAAAAGGCTTCTGTGGGGAACGCGGCTTTGCTCCTGGACTCCGCCACTCATCTCTACTTTTTCCTCCCTCTAGTGGCTGAGCACAGCATCGGGTTCCAGATTCCATTGTTTGGAGCCATGGCCACAGTGCTGGTGGTCACCTGCATGGTGGTCCTCGGGGTGGCCGCATTGTCTAGAAAGGTAATGGCTCTGGCTGTACATTTCAGTCATGGGCAACCCTAATAACCCCCCACACCCCTTGGTCCTTTCAGTTCTTTCTTTCTTCCTTCCTTCCTTTTTTCTTCTTCCTTCCTTCCTTCCTTCCTTCCTTCCTTCCTTCCTTCCTTCCTTCCTTCCTTCCTTCCTTCCTTCCTTCCTTCCTTCCTTTGACAGGCAGAGTGGACAGTGAGAGAGAGAGACAGAGAGAAAGGTCTTTCTTTTGCCATTGGTTCACCCTCCAATGGCCGCTGCGGCCGGCGCGCTGCGGCCGGCACACCGTGCTGATTCGAAGGCAGGAGCCAGGTGCTTCTCCTGGTCTCCCATGGGGTGCAGGGCCCAAGTACTTGGGCCATCCTCCACTGCACTCCCTGGCCACAGCAGAGAGCTGGCCTGGAAGAGGGGCAACTGGGACAGAATCCGGTGTGCCGGTGCCGCAAGTGGAGGATTAGACTATTGAGTCAGTTCTTTCTGTTCAGAGAGAGAACCAGCTGTGGTCTCCTTCATGGTTCTTTGTGCCTGTATCACGATACTTGTTCTGCCTTTTAATGCAGTTTTTTAATGCTCTTCCTCATTCCTCTCCCAGGCTGGGAGCTCCTGGAAGTTTGGACCTGTATCCTTTCCATCTTGCTGTCACTTATAGTTTCCTAGCTCCTGCCTGTCCCCTAAGTCACTGCTCTGACAGGTTCAGTGTATCTATTGTGAGTTGGATGCATCTTGGGCATATACTCTTTGGTCATGCTGGGTTACTCAGGACTTCTGCAGGATGAGAAATAAACACTCCAAAAATTTATGGGTGAAAAGTAAGTGACAAGATAGGCAGCTTGTAAATCCAGTTACTTTTTAGCTTAAGAGGTCATGTGGCCTGAAGAATAGTGGTTGAGGTGTAGGAAGATTTAGTTTCTGATATTGACACTGAGTGTATGGTTTCAGAGAAGGGCTGAATTTTCCCAGGTCTCCATTTATTTATATATGAAATGGACACTATAATTCTGCTCACTCTGCATCACAGAGTTCTGCTAGACAGGTGGTATATTTCATGTGAAAGCTTTGTAAGTAATGAAGAAGTATATCATTGTCCTTTTTGTGTCATAGATTGGTAGCTATTAGTTAGGATAAGTTATGGAATTTCTACTCCTTGTCTTGTCTTTTGGGCCCTGAGCCAGCCCTGGTCACCTTTTTTGTTTTGTGTGATCTATCTATCTATCTATCTATCTATCTATCTATCTATCTATCGACAGACAGACAGTGAGAGAGAGAGACAGAGAGAAAGGTCTTCCTTCCTTTGGTTCACCCTCCAAATGGCCACTACAGCCAGAGTTATGCCTATCCGAAGCCAGGAGCCAGGAGCTTCCCCCTGGTCTCCCATGCGGGTGCAGGGCCCAAGCACCTGGGCCATCCTCCACTGCCTTCCCAGGCCATAGCAGAGAGCTGGACTGGAAGAGGAGCAACTGGGACAGAACCGGCACCCCAACCAGGACTAGAATCCAGAGTGCCGGCGCCACAGGTGGAGGATTATCCTAGTGAGCTGCGGCACTGGCCTTGTGTTTTTTTTTTTTTTGTTGTTTGTTTGTTTTTTTTTTTAAAGACTGATTTATTTGTTTGAGAGGCAGAGTTATAGAGAGAGGGAGAGACAGAGAAATCTTCCTTTTGCTTTTCACTCCACAAATGGCTGCAACAGCCTGAAATAAGGCACTATCTAACTGGGTCTCCCACATTGCTGGCAGGGGCGCAAGCACTTGGGTCATTTCCCCCTGCTTTCCCTGGTGCATTAGCAGGGAGCTAGATCGGAAGTGGAGCAGCTGGGACTCAAACCGGCACCCATATGAGATGTCAGCATTGCGGGCAGCAGCTTAGCTTGCTCCACCACAATGCTGGCCCCCTGCTTTCCAGAAAAACATTTTGGGCAACAAAAGCCTGTGATTCCCAACACTGTTTTCTACCTCTACTCTAGATCCTCCTACCCAAATCCTGACCTACAGCTCTGATTCTACTTGATTAACAACTCATGTCTGCAGCCCTAAAATTATTCTTTTGACTATGTAGTTGGTGCAATTATTACTCTTATACAGACAGTCCTCAACTTGCTTGATTTACAATGTTCAACTTTGCAGTGGTGTGAAAGTTATAGGCATTCAGTAGAAACCATTTAGAATTTTGAGTTTTGGTCTTTTCTTGGTCTAGCCATTTGCAGTGGGATCTTCTGTTGCAGTGCTGGGCAGGGGCTATGAGCTGTAGGCTCCCAGGTAGCCCTGTGATCTCCGGTGGACTGTGTTGCTAAGCTGTGCTATTCAGTGGGTTAGGTATAGGAAATGCACTTTACACTTACAGTATTTTAAATTTATTATGCGGTTATAGCTTGATAAACCCATTGTCAGTTGAGGAGAATTTCTGTATGGGTTTATAGCTATCATCATATTCTTCATATTTGTGTTTTTCCTTATTCTGTCTTGCCATCTTTTGATTAAGGAACTTTTTATTACTAAAAGATTTGTTAGTTATTCATTCCTTTGTTACTGTTTTAGTGGTAATTTTAGGGATTATAGAATATGCTCTTGACTATATACATTAATACTACATAAAGTAGTATTTTTATCATTTCCTGGATTATGCAAGCAACTTAGAGCATTTAAACTCTTTTTACCTTTCTCTCCAACTTACTGCTATTACTATTTCAATTCTCTGTTTTATGCCCCCAAATTGTTATTATTGTTTTATGAGCCTTTTTCACTTATATTTATCTGTTCTCATTCTCTTCACTCTTTCCTGAGTGTCTTATTTTATAACAGGGATCATGTTCCCTCCTCCTGGAGAATATCCTGTAGTGTTGCCTTTAGTGCAGGGCTGCTGTGGTGAATTATCTTGGTTCTTGTTTGTCTACAAATATCTTTATTTCTCTGATATTACGAATGGAATATTTGATTTGCTAGGTATAACACTCTATATTGGTAGTTTCTTTTATAACATGAAAACCTAATTCCATTGTCTAGCTTACTGTATTTCAAGTGAGAAATCTGGTCTTATTTTTGCTCCTTTAAAGAAATGAAATTTTCCATTTTCCATTTCTTTAAAAATTTTCTTATCTTTTGTTTTTTGTAATGGTAGAGTTGACTTTGCATTTATTCTGTTTGGGGTTTGGAGTACTTTGAATCTGTGACTTTATGCATTTTATCAGTTTAGGGTCAATCCTGGTCATTATCTCTTCATATGTAACTTCTCTATCCTTGCATTCCTGTGTTTCTGAACTCTAATTACCTGTATTTTAGGCACTTTCACTCTTCTGTAAATGTTTTGTATCCTCCTATTCATATTTTCCATTCACTTGTTTCATCATGGTTTAAAGTAGATGTTTTCCTCTGACATACTTTCTAGTTTACTAATTATCTTCTTTGATGTATCTAATCTTTAAGTAGTCTATTGTCTGCCAAATCTTCTCTGTTAATTATTTGAAAATAGTAATCAACTATTTTGAAGTCTGACTGATATTTCTAATAATTGGAGCCTTGAGAGTCTTTTCTTATTGTCTACTTTCCTTGTCTTTTGTTTATATCTTCTTGACTGTCTGGTACTTTTCATTGAGTACTCTCAATTCTACATGAAAAACTGTGACACGAACTTGAAGTTACAGATAAATATCATTTTTTTCCAGAGAGGATTTACAACCATCTTTGGCACGTGGCTAGTCTGGAGGCATTAACAATCCCAAGTCTCTAAATTGTATCAGTGAGGAGAGGATTCAAAGCTGGACTTCAGTTTCTGGTACTCCTAGGGCATGGTCAACCGTGATCCCAATTAAAAGTCTGTTGGCATTTGCCAAATCCTTTCTTGCTGGTTTCTGAATTCCAAATTTTATCCTTCCAGCTAGAGGCTCTGTGTAGTTTATGTGCCTCTTAGTCATAACTTTCAAGCAACTGCCTCCGGGAGAGAGTGTCCCCAAATGTTGACCTCATGTCACTGGGTTTCCTTCTCCTGAATGTTGCTCATGACCACAAATTTCTTACTGATTTGGAAGATCTTTTATTTGTTCAAACAGATATTTGTAATATTTTGTTCAGTTTTTCTAACAGTTCTCTATGGAAGAGTTAGTTCAAAGCAACCAAGTCAAATATAGTTCCACCAGAAGCAGGACTCCTTTGATTGTTGTATTTCATATTTGCATTCAAAGCTTGGCTTTCACCAGCAGAGAAAATATAGCTGGATGACCTATTCTTTATGTTGGGCTCTATTAGGTTAAGACCCACTCTTGATTTTCAGCCCCTGTGTAGCTAATGCCTGACCAGACATTTAGCCTCCATCTGGCTGGGTCACTGCCAGTCTCAGCGAGGGGAGGCATTGTTTCCAACTGGCTTGCTGACCGCGAATTCTTACCCTCTCTTTCTCTTTCTCTCTCTCCCAAAGAAGGATCATCTTTCAATTTTCTCTTTATTCTAACTTCTATATGACTTTTTTGCTCTTGTTGCTCCTTTGAAGACCATAGAGAGCTGATTCCCTCTTCAGGTCTCAGGGTTGGGATGAACTGAACAAACTAGAATTGCTTAGTAAGAGCGTGAGATTATATTGTTATCCTCCTTAGACCTCAATGTGTTTTGCTTTTTAAACAGTCTTAACTCTATACCCTTTTCTTAACATATATATATATACACACATATATATACATACAATATATATATACACACATATATATACATACAATGATATTTCTGATGATACATATATACACACACACATATATATATACATACAATGATATTTCTGATGATACATATATATATGTATATATGTATATATTTCCAGCTATTATAAACAGTGCTTAGGAATTACACTTTTTCTACATACTCATATCAATCACCAGTGAGTGTACAGGACTTTTAGCCTAATATTTTAATTCTTTTACACTAATATTCTTAAATTATTTCATTTTTCTGTTTAGATAAATCCATTTTGCTTTCTTTAAGCTGCTATCAATACAGGGGTTCGGTATAACA